ACGTACTTGACTTTCATTCGGATTCGCTTTCAGACCTCAACGCGTTTACAGTGGCTACTCTTACTAGCTTATTCATTACTAATTTATGTTACCTAAAAGGGCGGAAGTGGTGTAGTGGCAAGTGGCACGCTTACCACGCGAGCGGTCCGGGGATCAAATCCTGGGTCGTGAGTCGCCCGGGCCAACCAAGCCTTCCATCCCTCCGGGGTCGGTTAATTGGTACCAGACTTGTCTGGGAGGATAAAAACACTGACTTGTACATCGGCTGGCCCCCGCAAGTCATTGTATAGGCCACATCGCATTCAAACGCCACTACGAATGTACAAATGGAAGTAGAATGCGTGCCGCATCCCAAAAAGGGATTGATCAACGGCAAATGCTTTATCCTTTATCCTTCATCCCTCGTTTTCTTTTCATTAACGTAAACGTAGATAAAAAGAATTAGAAGTAAATACAAACGTATCGTGTGGCAAGATATGTGTTTTTACTGAAACAACCACGTCCAAATTAATTTTGGAACCACTAAAGGAAAGTAAGTAAAATTTGCCTTTTCATGGCCTTAACACGTCATTTGGTCAAACTTTCATTACTGTTATAAGTTGAACACGTCGAACATTGTTGAAACACTTTGTCGCATCTAAGTATTGCGTATTTAAGCTCAAAATCCACGGATTTGATGTGAGGCGGCGGCGCTCGCAAAATCGCTCTGGTCCCACGCGGCGAAAAAGCCAAAACGCGCGATGTCGTCAACGTGTGCAAGTCGGTGGATACCCGTGTAGCGCACACATACATATGCTGAGCCTGGTGAGGGATAACGCTGTGGGATAACGGGTATAGGACCTTAACACCTTTCGGTCATGATTTTTTCCCAATTTTTTCCTTCTTAGGAATTTTTTTGCTATTGTTTATTACTTGTGAGCACATAAATATCATTATATTGAAATTTGGAAGCTATTCGATCACAAACTAAGAAACTAGGAAGCTTTGAAAATTGGCGCGGATTTTTAGTTTCCAGCTTATATGAAAAAGGAATTCAAATCTCTTAGTCATATAGAAAAAGTTCAATCTTGCATAACATTCTAAATTTTTTTGACAGCATATGAATGTATGTCAAGTATTTTGGAAATGTGACACTTATCCAGCAACTTTCGAATCAGCTCTAGTAGTGTGTAGAAAAAAATACTGCTGTAGCGACCTCTGAATTTGATGGTGACAATTGCCATGGCCAGGGCCGAGAGGGTTAACATACGAGGTGGGTGAGAGGAAGTGATAACGGTTGATAGAGGCCCAAGAAGAAGCTTCGGAGTGCAAGTGTTGCATGTTCTCGTGTCAACCACTACGCTACACAACTCACTAGCAGTATAGTAACATGGGGTGCGACTGAGGTCTACTTCGAGCTTCTCTGGTGCAAATTTCATCGAATTCGATACCAGGATAAAAATCATGTTGAGGGCATGGTCGTAGCAGTATGATCCCTTCCCTAAAATTGGGATCTTGATACGAAACCTCTAACTTTAATCTGCAGGACGTCGAAAGATTCAACGACAGTTGCGGCGTGGTATACCCCTGAGACGGATAGCTCGAGCCCCACCCCAACAATGGAAGTCTACACCCACTTGGAGCTACCATTCTTTCATTTCGTAACCTTCTTACTAAGTTACCATGCAGTGTTGAAATCGCTCTAGAAGTTTTCTACTAGGAGACATAGTATCTATCTATCGGACTGCGTCGAGTCATCGTCGAGGGCGCTGAAATTTTCATGCGAGTTTTCGCTATCAAAGGGTAATATCTTTCTAATTTCTGAGGTCTTAAAAAAGGAAGGCAGTTTTGGAAAGCGAAGGTTGCGCTTTCTAGCATCTGTTTAGCTTCTTCTACATTCCCTAGTTGAGGAGATATTTGCGTCGAGGATCTATCGAGGACGATTCTCGGCCACTCAAAAAGTCGCTTCCCTTCTTCACCATTGCAAGAAAATTCGTTGGCAACTCTCGAAATGTCTCTAAAATACATTTTCCATTGTAAGCAGTATGAAAAGAAGCAATCGCCATTGTCTGATATCGTCTCAGTATAGGCCATGCATTCGACCTCTACTCATAATTGCCGAGCCAATGTGATGTTGACGGAAACTGTTTTCTCGTAAACACGTTTCATAAATACTATAACTTAAGGAACACCTCCATTTGCACATTTTCACTACTTTTTTACACTTGTGTCGCTTCTTGTCATAGCGTAAGCAACAGTGCCTTCCTCAGCAAAGGTGTAAAGGGCGAGTGAGCGGGCGGGGGTGACCGAGGTGTCTTCGCTAAGCATGCGGCCCTGCAACTGAATCTGCAATGAATATATTTTCTCACATATCCTCGTTTTCTGTGCGTCATCGCCCCCTCCCCCCCCCATGTGCACCATGGTGCCACTCATGTGCTCGTTACTGACCCCCACGATCAAGATCCCCCATTACCCACCGTGACAAATACGACCCCCCCCCCTGTCGAGGATATCTCTCGAGCCGAATTATTCGCAAACTGCTAGAAATAAGAAGAGAATTTAATGTAACCAAAACGTTCATATGGTATCTGGTAAGACTCTTCATTCTCCCGTAAATGTTTATATTGCGAGTGCCCGACTTCATTTCTCCGTTTCGCTACTTAGGTTCTTCGAGTATGTGTAGAGATGTGGCGAGTAATGGCTGACATCATTAACACTTTTTGTCTTTTATCAGTGATATCAGCCAGTACCATTGTGTAGAAAGATCCCACCGCTGGATGCGGATCTTCAGGTAACGATGAATTGTTTAAGCTGTCTGCTACATAAGCATATAAGTATGAAATGAACTCAAGGTGTGAGGGTTATGCAAAATATAGGAGGATTGATTTTGCGATATAACTTGATATACTCCAAGTTGAATCGTTTTAAAGGACGAATTCACGATGAAAAAGCAACCCATTTCAAATTAACCTAGGGATGGTGAGTGGTACACGAAAGAAGGAAGAACCATGAGAAACGGCCCAGAACCCGAGAAATGGGACCCCTTCCTTGCCCGTTGATTTGAGCATTGATGCGACTCTCATCGCTGTGCCCTCTTCAACACTACGCTCTCTCACCTATCTAATCTCGCCACGTATAGACCTGATGATCGGTGGGCGTGCACTGGCCCACCGCGCCAAGATTGAGCCTTAATAGGTCGCCGAGGTCAACTCCTTCGGTGCCAATTGCGCTTCAGTCCGCACCCTTAGGAGGTCCGCGGGTCCCTCAACTAGGTGAATTACTCCTTCTTCGACCTTCGTTCTAATCGTAAATTCGTCCTTTAAACCAGCATGCTGCGTGTCACGCGCAAAAGTGCGTGCTTGCCGGACAAGTTGATATTGTGTTTATCCGATTGTGTTTCAGCCTGACGAGGAAGTTATATTCACTGCGCAGAAACAAGCGCAGCCTCAAAATGACTGTCAGTTTGTCGCAACGTCAGTCATAAAGAAACGTGAATTGATACCAGTATCTGGAAAAATATGTGAAATTTACGACAAGTGAGTTGCTGTTTGAATCTGTGTTTATCCTTTTGTCAATGATAACTGTTTTTCTGAAATTTTCATTTTTCGGTGCAAACTTAGTTGGGAGGGGGGACCACGCGGCGCTCTGCTCGTCTGGCGCGCTCTCAAGCGAGATAGCACTGCGACTAAGCCTCGGCTGGGATAGGCCGTAGACAGTGTGATCTTGCTCTATGTATGTTTGAACTGAAGTAACTTTGGAGGAAACAGGAAAAGAGGAATTCCGGATGAGACAGTGTTACCATTACTATAGTAACACTATCCCACCCTAACTTCCTCCCTTTCTTGGGGCTTAGTTCTAGTAAAAGGAGAAACTCTTCTTAACCTTCTACCTAGGCTCATAGTGCTGTTTCGCTAGAGAGAGCGCTAGACGAGCGTGGCGCCGCGCCGACGCACACTTCGCTGCGATTACTGCGCCGCCACGTGGTTCCCCCCCAACTATGTTAGCCCCCTTTTGTTTGTTGTGTTAGTTTGTTGTGTTCACGGTCGCATTTGCAGTGGATATGCCCGTCGTCATGCTCTCCCCTTATTTTGCATGCGAAATTTCGTATTCGCTCAAACGGCATCTGATGCGAAAGATATTTTATATCATTATTATATTATTAGCTATTACAAAGATATTATTTTTACATTATAGAGATATTTAGCATGTCGTTTTGAAGGCCGCGCAAGATATACGAGGGGAGGGGGAGTAGTAAAAATGCATGTTGTCCCGCTAAACGAAATCACATTTACTTAAGTTCAAACCGAATGCTCCCAACTAAAATGAGGGGCATATAGTTTATGAAAAAGAAAAACTATGATGACCATGTGCGCGGGTGGCATCAGAAAAATCCACTTCGGTGGACACTTCGAGCTCAGCGCAGTCTCTGAAGGGCCGTGCATTACATTTTCTAGAACACTAGGTCGGAGGTGGCTTGCATAGCCACAGCTGTTCTACAGTCCAGCTGAAATAATGACGGTATCTCCTTGACCTTGACGGCAATGGCAGATGACGTCGTATTCTGAAGATGACAACGGCAGTAAAGGAGGGATTGCTCCTGTTTGTAGTGAGAATTTCAGGGATTTTTTTTATGTGAGCCTTCGATCAGTGGCGGTTTTTTGCAACAAAGAAAAATCGCCGGTGTGTGACGTGGGCAAAATGCTTTTTTTTGCTCCCTTCTCCAATCCTCTCCACCCCTATGCTGGGTGGCCAAAAATACACTAACAAGATGAAGTGATTATGGGAAATCTGTACTGCGAAAAAAGACAAGCGGAAAGCAAAATATACTCACTGAAGGCTATTATACGGTAGACCACATTATTCAACCGGGTAACCACTATTTGCTTTGGAGAAGGAGTGGAGTCTCTCGTAAAAATGCGTTCATCTCGCGGCGTGTAGATAGACGACTTCAAGTGCGGCCCAGGCATTCCGAATTGGTTCTTGAATCCCTCTACGTTTTCGTCATGTCTGGAGCAGGTACTCGTCTTCACTACACTCCGTACAGTGTCATCTAGTAGATTTCCATAGGGAGATCCAGGTGATCACTCTTCGAAGAAATGATCCAGGGCAGCTCTGCTAGCAAGAATGTCGTCGTGGGCACTACCGAAATGTTCAGTGTATTGTGATTTCTCCCAAGACTTCCTTTGGCCCGAGGAATATTTTGAGTTTGAAAGAGATCGGAATAATTTCTGCTCTCCTTTTAAAGCTTTGTATATTAGAAGTCAAGGTAGTGAGGGTATTCCGTTCAGGGGTATTCGCCGCAAAAACACTCACCGAATCCGGATTCGATGATATTCGATATATAGCTTGTTTGGAGTAGTTATAGATGTAGCTTTTTCCGTTCTACTTTTTCAAGACACTCATTTATGAATAGCTTCATATCAGTGAGAAAGGTCGGCAACTGAGAAGGTCGCCCCATTTCAATACCGGGCTTTTCTGCTCTTACGCCCACTCACGGGATGCCTTCTGGCAATTACCTGCTAACAAGTGCGTCTGAGCTGCTACGGAAGGCAAATGATCGATAGAATGTGCTAGTACAGCGCAGCTTCGCAATAACTTTGTCAGTTTTGTTCTTGATAATAATAGTAGCTTCTCTTCCTTGGTCAGACCGATGGTTCCAGTACCTGGTTCGCTGCACTTTGTTACGGGGGTAGTTGCAGGCTTCTCGGAGTTCTTGAGTTGTTTTGCAATGGTACACCTCCAATCCTCCTCCGAATAGGAGCCAAGTAGCGATTAGCTCCCGAAGAGTCAAGGGCTTGAACAACTAAAGTTAATAAATTCTACTTAGTAATATCAGAGAGCATCAGGCTAGTAGGACCAAATACTTTGAAGCTACATTCAATATCTTTTGCTTTATTTTCGAAATTGTATGCGGTACGCTCTTGTTACGTGATTTGTAGCCACCCTGTATTAATATACAGTGTGCTCGAATGTTTCTGCCAGATGGCTTTTTCGATGTATCTTCTTTTTTATCTTTGGTGGAGCTATGACAGCAAAAAAGTTTAATTTTGTAGATATTGTTACGCTGAAGTTAAAAAATATGGACGAGTTTTTGTACCGTATTCCGCTAGAAACGATTTCAACAAGCTCAACAAACCGTGGTTGGGATATGGTGCTGAAATGGATAAAATAATTCAATTGAAGGTGAGCCACGTTTGCGTAGTTTTTGTCTTGGAGCCGCCATCTCTTTGGCCGATGTCAGACTTTGCGAATCGCGCGATTCGCTAGCGTCCGCGGTCGCGTTGCGGTACCAGCCAATTGAGTGATTCACTGGCCGCGACGCGACCGCAGACGCTAGCGAATCGCGCGATTCGCAAAGTCTGACATCGGCCTTTAGAAGAGTCTTTGGTCACGCCCGCCGCCACCAAGTTGCGAGATCTATTTGGGATTGCTCCGAACCACTCATTGATGAGCTTCTTTAGAGGGTAGTTATGTATCTGTCGTGGAGTTGAAAGGCTATGGTTGAAAAAAAAATTGCCTCTTATCCATTGCAAAACATGCTACTCTAACGATAAGAGCGCGTCAATGAAGAGACCGTTGAAAAACAAATAGATACAAATAGAGTGAAATATGGCTAGAGTAATTCATGGTTCGAATAGCCATCATTTTCGTTTCTTATGCGAACGTAAATACGCAATAGTCGAAGCTTTTGCCCAGGGTCAACTGTCACGTTGGGCCGATTCCAAAAGTTTCGCGACTGCTCTCGTCATCGGGGATCTCGATACGACCAGCTCCACCCCCTCCCTCCTCCTAACAGTTGCTATGTGTAACTGTTATGATGGCAGCACGCGGCCTGCGCGCGTGCTGTCACGGCGGCAACAATCCTGCCTCCGATAGAGATCGCCCAAGATCCTCAAGCATTTCATTTAGGTGCTTAAGTGGCCTTTCAGACTCAAAATTAAAAAAAATATTCAAGTAGGTTGTAATCTGTGTGGCTGCATAGTTCAGAGAACTATCCACGATTGTGCAGTATTTTGAGAATTTTTTATAGAACAAACAGTTTAGATTCCCTTCCTAATATTGTCTCGGGTTAAGAGCTTCCTACTTCTTGCTGAGAACTCATTCCGAACTTGAGCGGGTTGAAAGTTGTCCCGCTGTTCCGCTTTTTTCCACTTAATTTTTCGAGCACTCTCCTCATGGCTCCCTTCAAAATTGGTTTTGTTGGAAATAGTGATCGGAAAACTACCATTTTTATGCTCTTATTATAGGGGGCTGACTATGGAAATCCAACCACTTACAAGTTTCTTATTCAAAAGTTTCTGCTCTGAGCCTTGAAAAGTCAACTAGCTCGAGTGGTTACTCTTTACATTAGGTAGGCGCGGTCCAAAAACATCGTGTTCCCTGTAAGGCAGTACTGGCATGTGGACAATCCTACTATATATGATCCGCTAAGTGTGTCTGTTGGTGTGTGTTTGTGTGTATGTTTGACCGGAAATTCATAGCGCGGGTCTTAGCGACAATAGCGCAATGGTTTTTTAGTTACTCTAGTGTTTTTCATGACGCAAGTTGAAGAATCCGAAATTAGGATGCTTTCTTATGTAATGCTCTGTAGAATGGAATGGTGTTGATGTAAGTGCTGAAGAGCAGCGAACTCTTCTGCATTGGTCGCTACTTCCTACAACAGTATATAGTCCTTTTTAGGGTGTAGACGGAAAATTGTGTATTCAGTGACTTTTCAGTGTTTACTCTTTATCCCACTGTTGCTTATCTTTCAGATTTTTCGTCAACCGGATATCAAAAATTGTCGATATGTTGCTTGGAGCATAAATATGAATACGATAGACGAAAAGAAGGGTTTTGAAAAAGTGCCCGATAGAGCCAATGGTCAGGTTGGTGATTGCTACGATAATTAGAATTAGAGTGATAACAACAATACCTTTTTTGAATGTGGGTCACAACCATTTTTGTTCACATTTTCAATCTAATAGGTTGTTTTGATTGATTGATGTATTGTAGAATGTCGGGTTGCAGTGTGGGAAATGATAGAAGAGAATACTACTGCAATTAATCACTCTTGTTGGTTTTCAACATAAATAATTTTACATCCATTTTCAGATCGGTGTTATTGTTATTATTCCATCGGATGGTGATTTAACTGTGTATTCTTCTGTGAGTCAATTCTCAGACTTTCGCTTCCTTTCGCATATGTTCATCCATTTTTTATAACTAAACATCATTCAGCCTTAAAGTGCTGAGTTCAAAGTTTGAAGTTAGAGCTCCTGGACTATAAAATTATTCCCGAATTTCCAGGCACCACAACCTTTTCTCAAAAACTCATATCATTGAACCATTGTCAAAATTATTTAATCGAAACAAACGCCAAAAACTTTGCAATTTCCTTCAAATGGACCCTACAGGAATCGAACCTTGCCGCATGATATTCGTCAGAATTTCATCTCATACTTTTTGGATATCAATTTTTGCCCATTTGCATGAATTGCTTCGCTTCGTGCGGTGCTTCACCTTTGAATTCGTTCTTATTCAAGAGTTCAAGAGTCCACTACCATTCAATTGGGGACCTGAAGAGCTTTCCTTGTAAGCTCATTCGTTCGCCGTGAAGTCGAACAAATGAGCTACAAGAAAAGCTCTTCAGATCGCCATGGTCTTCCAAGAGATGGATGTTTCTATGTGCGCTTTTGAGTGGTGTTGCCTGCCATCCAATCTGCTAAAGCATAGCGATAATGGTGCGTGTTCCAGAGCAAGTGTTCGTGCGATTGGTTTCTTTGGTTTTGTGCGCGTTACTTCTGGAAATACTTTTATGAACGACGCTTGCCTATGAATTCCCCCAAATGGGTTGAGGAACACTGAGCTCATTTGTGCGTGATTATAAGCAGCCATGAGCAAATGATTACCAAATTTCATTGTAAATTCATCATACTGATAAGTGTGACAAAGGTGAAAAACGGCACAGATGTAAAACGAGCAAGGAATCCCATTAAAATTTTTCGCGATGAAAGCAAGGAATTAAGTTCCCGAGAGACCCGATCCCATGACCTTCTGAATAAGAGTCCGGCGCACTACCATTGCGCTCCTCCACTTCATAACCATTCAGAAAACCGTTCAGCGGATTTGGAATGCTGACTTGAACTCAGCGTTCTAAAACTCAGAAGAGTAGATATCTGATCTCGAATAGCCACGGCGACCTGAGCCCCTTTCCTCATTAGCAGAGTTCCACAAAATTCAGTACGTGAGCCGACACTCCCTGCTTTCAAATCCAGTTGTCCTAAATAGTGAAATTGACGACAGTTTTTTGGAAAATTCGGCCTCGGATAGTATTTGACTCAAGTTTTCTTTCCCTTCTCCTTTTTGAACGAGAACCAACGGAGAGGAAGAATGTGTGGTTGCTCAGGCTCAATTCATTGCGGAGTTAGGAAGTTAATTTCAATTCTCGTTGTTCCTGCTCTGTTGAATTCTTCGAAAATCCCATTACTTATCTTTGGGTTTATCTTATGGATGCTCAAAGGCTCTTGTGAATATTGTCCAAAAAGGTACACAACGTAGTAGGACGATGAGCGTAGAGAAATGGCTACATACTCGACAATATCAGGTTAGACGATACGAAGAGCTCCAAGCTTGGAGCGCAAACTTCAAGTCGTGCAGACGACTAGCTCTCTTTTTCGAGCTCGTAACAATAGAGTGGGAGATGTCAAGGGATCCTGGCCCATGTAGTGCAGGAGCCTGCATGCCGATAAGAAATCCTTTGATCTTTTTTGGGCGATCAGACCTCCATAGATGTCCAACTTCGTGGATGCAACTTCGTAAACGGCTACCATCTCAGTTTCTTTTTGACAGTAGCTTCATTTCTCGCGTAGAAAATGGTGAAGAATGGAACAAAGCAAAAACTTTTCTATTACCCATCGAATATGCTTGAAAATTCGATATTTTTGCATAGGGTTAGCTCTCAATTATTAATAGACCAGGAATTCTTCAGTCAACTACGGTCTGGGTAGATGGCGAAATATTTATTTCTATCGGAGCAAGTTCAAAACCTGCCACTCGACTTCCAAATAGTGAATATTGCATCAAGGCAATAGCCGTATTGGTACGACCCTTCCCTACCCTCTGAACGAAGTTTTCGACAACTGCGCCCACAGCTAGCGTAGCAGCGTTCAGAATTCAGCGGAAATTATATACATTTATTCAAATGGATATTGAATTTAAGGCGCAATGGGGCCTGGAGGTGGGGGCAGTTGCGGCCGCGTCGTGTGGCATGTTCTTTTACCTCAGTGTAGAGCGGGAAGTCCGTGAGCCAGGGGGAGTGTAGCCAGTCTAGGGGGTGGGGGTGAGGGCAGTCACTTGACATGCGTGAGAAGTTGAAATGTTCGAGTTTCCACTATGTCATGTGGACTGCCCCCCCCCGAGCTACATTGAGCCGAATTCAATTATCAGATGATATGATTGATTTTTTATCAACTGGGACTTGGTCGAACTTAACGGCCACCAATTCGATCGCTAGCATTACCAAACGAGGTGACTGCTTACGCTTTTTTGTACTACTTCCGCTTTAGGCAATTATGTAGTTGCCATGACCGGTTTGACCGTTGCTGTGTCACGTGAATTGTTACCTGGACATCACAAGTTGTCAGAGTAGAACCGAATATGCGCCTGATCGGCTTCGGTCACACATTGGGTACATTTTTATTAAAACACAGCAAAGACTCAGCACCGATACTCCAGCGCCGTAACAAAGAAGAAAAGTCGCAGAAAGTCTAAAGTAAGACGCTTGAGAAGCTGCACGAAAAATGAGCATGTCTCGAGTAGGCTAGTGATAGTGTACCTGGTTGAATGTTCACCAATCGAAAGTCTCGTATGAAGTGGCGCAAGACTTTCTTTCATGAATAAAACGAAATCTGGGATATTAGAATAGTCAAGTTCATTCGATGTCGTACTTGCCAAATCATGTGCTACAGTTCCTATAATGCGGAAGCCTAGGCCGACGCTGCTTTTGAATAGGAGTGCTTGAAAACCAGATTTGGTGCTTACGTCGGTCTTTGTAGGACGGCATGAGCAGTTACGTATGGAAACCAAACAGTGAAGAAAGGCGAGTAACTCTGAACGTTCACGTTTTCTCTCTATCTAAGACAAGATAGTGGGCGTAGTTGCTGAAATGAGGCAATCCGTGACCAAACCTACAAGTGAGCAAGCCAGGGATCACAAAACAGCTCGCCTGTAAATTGATCGGAACATGAGAACAGAATGGGATCCTGCAGGTGGTTCTAGGAAGGCGCTTCTCATAAAAAGACTAGTTTGTTTTGTCAAGTTTCAGTTATCTTCTCAGATAAGAATTAGTTCAATTGAGATGCGCCGGCTGGATATTAGAGCTGATTGAGGGATGTCAAAATTGATCTACTTGTTTTTGCCCCGTAACTTCGAAGGCGGATTTCAGATAATCTGGGCTGCATTGTGCAGCAGTACTGTTCTCTCATTGGCTCTTGAATCAGTTAAAATAGACTGCAGCGACTATCAGGAGGTTTTCGCTTGTCATTTGAATTCATTCCTATTTGAAAATCTCCCGTAGATTTCGCCTTTGTTGGTGACAATACTGCCGTCCACTTGAATGATCCGCTCTGAACACTGGCTTAGCTTCTACGAAATCACTGTTATGGATTGCCTTGCCAGTTCGGATCTGAGTAATATAGAAGAAATATGAGGGATTATTGTGAGGCAGATTTACGCTGGTGGCAAACAGTGAACCGCTGTGGAACACCTCATGCGTGCTACTGTGCATCCGGATACTATTACTCTGTAGAAAGTTCTAATTGTCAATGCACATTGCAGAGGTCGCGTCTAAGAAGCCGTTCTGCTTTCGGAACGAGAGGCATTTTCAAATTTTCCTGTAGAAATGTTTGTAGCTCATAGTGCCTGCTGTAACAAGGGAATTTTGTTTTAAGTTTGCTGAATTTAATCAAGGTCACAAGCTATGAAGTCCTTCCCCACCCCTAATATGAAGTTGTTTCAGTGGTGCTTTTATACTTTTGAAACGCACTGCAGTTTATGGACATACCAGATTGGTCCCCGTCCATCGCCGGTACCTGCCTTCCCTGTGTGAGCTTCGCCCCTTCCGCTGTGGTTTCTTCCATTTGTTACACCAAGTGGATCGTGAAATTGACGCGGATGCACAGAAAGGAGTTCCATACATATAGTAGAGGGCTGTAGTACTGTGATATCAGAATACTTATCTGTTCCATTGATCTCTCGACGAAAGGTTTTCTTCCTCCTCTCTTTTCCTCTCTTCCTCTCTCCACTGCCCTCCAGCTGCCACTGCAGCACCATGTGGAATGAACGGAAGTGTGCTAAGCAGGTGTTTATATAGCCCTAAGAGTGTTATCACAACTATCCTGCTGCAAAACATTGATATCTCAAATCCTGTAAGCTACCCGATTTGTTAGCGGTTTGTTTATCCCATGAGCTTCCTTACTCACTCACTTCATTTTGCGGACGGACAGATAGACATACGTATACTTCCTTTCAGAAAACGAGAAAGCGTCGGGTGCAGACCATGCACCACAAGTGACGACGGCCTCCACAAAATGTAAATGTTTTCTGCCAATGAAATGATTAGCCTGTTGCAGTTGTATTCTCAGTTGTCACTAATTACAACTATCATTTACCAAAATCAGCTATCACTATGAACCACTACTGATTTACTTGGAGGCCGTCGTCACTTGTGGTGTATGGTCTGCACCCGACGCTCTTCTCGTTTTTTTTTTGAAAGGGAGGGTACATACATAGAAACCAACACACCAAGTTATCGGTTTATGAGATAGAAGGATTTATACTTATTTTGTTATTCGGGATTGTTTTATTTGTTCCAGCAATCTGGGAAAGCAACGCTACCATCGTGTATGCGGGAGCCATGGATGAATATTGGTACATGCATTCGTTATGATGTTGTTAAACAAGTTGATACGGAGTCGCGAGCTATTTGGATAGTGCGGAACGTGGAAAATCTTGGTTTGGTGAGTATGGTGTCTATTTATTTCCTTATTTATAGCTGTTGCACAAGCTCGGGTTGACAGATTAATATATGAATAAAAATGTATTCACAATAGGCATATGACAAGAATAAGTAATAGGGGCAAATATCGCGACATGTATGTGCGATAATATGTGTTGTCACGACGATACTGACTCAGTCATGGGGTTTAGGAGATTCAGCTTTTTCACACCTTGCCCTTCTCCCTCCTTCCGTGTTTTGGAAGGCATCCATATGGTGCTTGAATATTGCTCGGCCTATGGTGTATCTCTATGGGAAGTATAACAATTGAAACAAAAGAAAAGCTGAAAGTTTGCAAAAATCACCGATATCCTTCAAATTTTCAGAATCGTTCCCATTTCACAAAACCATGTTTTGTGCCATAAGTACTTTCATAGAATATTTACTGCGAACCCTGTACCATGAGTCGCGAACCTCTCGAAAGGCATACGAAATACGAGGGAATTTTTTGAATTCCTTCTCATCAGCTCGGGTGTACAATTATCAGGTGGTTTTCAGTTATACGAAGTAATTGTTGATAATAAAGATCCATGCAAGTTGTTATTGCGCTTGAATGCCGTTGTTAATCGAGTGTCATCTAGCACTCATAATGCATGGCTGTGGAACGATATTATTGGTAGGTTAATTTTTTTATCGGTATACGCTTTGTGTCCGCTAAAATATGGTGTTTAGGTAGAATTTTTGTTCCTACTCAGCAGTTCAGTCATCGTTTACGCGCAATGATTTGTGTGAAAATAACTGCATCATGGACTGGTACATTTGAAGACGTTCCATGGACTGCTACAGATTTGGAGGTGAGCTCAAACTTACTATTTTACTCTCATCCTCTTTTTTGTTCGAAAAGACAATCAACTCCTTAAAAAACCCGATTGTCTATAGATCGAAGAACATAAAACATACGCACCGATAAAGCTACACAACAAAGTTAAGGTTCATTTAAAGGCAAAAGTCGGGCTTATTAAGGGGGTATTATGAAAACTGAGTATAGAGATGCGAAGTGGAACGACAGTGGAGAAAAAACTGAGAAAAACCGTCGACAAGGCCGTTAACAAAACCCTCTTTCCCACTAGCAGTGAAGGAGGCTGGCTTGGGGAAAGAGGCACGTACAAACAAGTTTTCTGGAGAACTCAATCGTTCTGTCGGTTGATACGGCAATCAACCTAGCTGATTCCACACGTTATGAGAGCCACGCCCCACATCTCGGTGGGCGGTCGTAAC